AGATCTTTGGGTTATCAACATGTATTTCAAGTTTCATCAAAATCTGATGAAAATTGTGATCTCTAGAGGGTCCACAACCTTGATATACCATAGTTTTACACAATTTGCGTATGAGGGGCAGCCATTTTGTTCGGCAGTTTTTGTCTGATTTTCACGAAATTCAAACTCAACCATCATTAGGGCATAACAGTGATATATTCAAACGTTTTTTTTTAAATCGGACGAAAATTGTGACCTCTACAGGGACCAAAGCAAAAAACACGATTTTTCGTTTTATCAGGGGACATAATTCAGGAAGTTACGATCCGTTATGTGCGACAAGATATTTGGGTTATAAACATGCATTTCAAGTTTCATCAAAATCGGATAAAAATTGTGACCTCTATAGGGTCCACAAGCTAAAAACGTGATTTTTCGTACAATCCGGGTCCATAATCCATGAAGTTATGGTCTGATATATGCCAATATTGAAAGAAAACAATATCTTTGGGAGATAGATCTATATTAAAGATGTCTTCTTCTGTTACTTTGATGTCCTCTAAAATGGATCTAAACCTATCCTGGACTGAATTAGAAAATCTAATAACTCTGTATAGGAAGCAAGGTCTTAGTGGTTGACTGTGCCTTGTTGTGCTCTGTGTTTTTCGTGCCTGTGATTTATTGTGGATTAATGTGTATTTCGACATGCAAATATATAATGCGCAGGCGTGGTAAAACCGTTACTTTCAAATAATTGTATAACAGTTTTTGATAAGTTATAATTTGTTGATAAATTATGCGATAGATTTCAGTTCTATTGTCGTGCATGTGGAACATTTTTATGCGAAGTAGTGTTTGCTGTTTAAATGTAACTATTGCGAAGAAGCATTTAGGCCTAATTTTAGGAAGTCTAGATTGAAAACATTATGTAAGCGCCTAGGGGGCAACTGTGTATTCGTCCTGCGTGTGTTTTTGTTTAAAATAGTTACTCTGAATGCAGTATTTGATCAAAATGTTTCATAACCAGCGGCTGCCAGGCAGGATACGCCAACATTTTCGAGAGATGGATAGAGAACAAGCTAAAAAGAAAGTGATTTTTCCTACAATCAAGGGCCATAATTCAGGAAATTACAATTCGATATGCGCAAATATCGACAGGAACCGAGATCTTTGGGTTATAAACTGACATTTCAAGTTTCAACAAAATCGGATAAAAATTGTGACCTCTATAGGGTCCACAAGCTAAAAACGTGACTTTTCGTACAAACAGGGGCCATAATCCATGAAGTTTCGATCCGATACATGCCAATATCGAAAGCAGCCGAGATTTTTTGGGGATAAAGCTATATTTCAAGTTTCGTCAAAATCGGACAAGAATTGTGACCTGTAGAGAGTCCACAAACAAATTGTGGACGGACGGACGGACGGACGGACAAGGGCGACGACAATATACGTCCACATGAAAATGTGGGCGTATAATAAAACAATTTTATCTGATTATATTTTTGAAAATTCTATTGATATTTGTGGAATAACTGAAACGTGGTTGAACAATGACTGTTCGGATTCATCGACAATCGCAGCTTTAGTACCCGATGGATATTCTATACAACATTGCCCTCGTGCTTCACGTGGAGGAGGTGTACCACTTATATTTAAGTCATCTATTAAGTGTAAGAAAACCCGTCATGAACGTTTTGATTCTTTTGAAATTTTGGATTGTTCTCTACAGTTTTCTTTCAAGGAAACTAGGATTATTACAATTTACCGCCCGCCAAATAGCAAATTGTGTCAAAAGTTTATAGAAGAATTTGGATTATTTCTGGACCAGTTAATGATGACTAAGTGTTGCACTATTATTTGGGGGGATTTTAATTTTCATTGATTTTTGTGATATGCTGAATAATAGATCTCTCACACAACATGTTTCTTCTTCAACTCATAACAGTTGACCATATACTTGATCAAGCTTATGTTACCCTTCCATTCTTCTACGTAGACTTCAATTTAAATTCGGTATTTGTGGCTCTGCATTAAATCTTTTAGAAAGGTATCTTGTGGGTAGAAAACAGTGTATTTTAGTTAATTGCAAATCGTCGTCTGAATCTGTTTTGTCATCTGGGATTCAGTGTTTAAAATTCGGCAAGAAAAGTTGTAAGCCAATAGGACCCGCTGGTAGATGCCATTCATGAAAGTTGTAGGTCCTAACATTAACTTGTGGGCCCAATAAATATTAACAAAACACGTACACTACCCCACCCCAAATTCCTTGAACTTCTAAGTTCCGTAGGTGTCTTCTACAGCCATTTGGGACAGGTTTAAAAGTTAATATGTATTCAATATTGATCAACTGTTCACATTACAATTTTAACATTTGAAAGATTTAATGTTTATACTTCGTGTATAGAAAGAAAAAAATCATTCCACCCCAGGCTTGATATTGTACTGACAACGTATCTCGAATTTCCATTCACATAGAAATCTGAAGATTAAAATGGCCCTTAACATTCTCCGAAAATTATCAGAAAATATTGTGCATATAAATAAAATGAAATGAAACTGGCTTTTAAGGTCTAACAAAACACAGATTAATCATTTGTTTTGTTTCATTCATCATGACGTGTGGAACTGTGTAATGAAAGGCCGTGACCTCTTTCAACATGAAAGGAAACTATCAGTGCTGTTTGGCAGACGACACGTCATTTTTTATCATTATTAAAACTTAAAACTGACCTGATGTCACACGTTGGGATAGCCTATATTTATGGAATGATAAACTCTTTGTTATTCTTCCTATATAACATGTTGCATGTGCCTGATTTCTTCGTAGTGAAATCTTCATTAAAGAAATAGACTTGATAATCAAGTCTGCTATTAAATCACGAGAGTTGGAAATAATGGCGGGAATGGTCACTCGTTTTACCTCGCTGGAATTATATTGTTACCCGTAGTTAGGCTTTCAGGGAATTTTCAGCTCTGGTTTTTCAATCTTATTTTTACAAGACAAATGTTTTATATCATGTGAATATTTATTCTTGGATTCATGACAGTACAGTAGATGGACTGACCTAGTTTAGTAGCATACGTGTTTGGATCTCTCCATTGAAGGAATGAATATAATATGCCGGATTATGCATGTGTATTCAATATCAGATAAAGACAAATAAGACAGTAAGTAAGGCATACCATCAGAACACACACTCATCTATTCCACACTTGATGAAAATGGTTAAATAATATCCTCCCGAACTCTGGGAGCGTGCCGATATTTGCAAGCACGACCTCACTCCTACAACAATAATTTCTTTCGGTGGACAATTTTATTTTTATTTCCGGTAATGAAATACTGTTAAATATCTGGATGAAATATATTTCGGATATAAATAGGAAATGTAAATATTTTCAAAGGAGAATTTGATAGAAACATGAACAAAATATCCATGACAAAAACAGTCGGCTCACAGGGCTGACCGCCATCTTCAAAATAAAAAGATGTCGGCCCGTCCAGTTATTTATCGGCGTCGGGCCAACGTAAATTTTAAACACTGCTGGGGTTCCCCAAGGTTCTGTTCTTGGTCCAATTTTATTTACCCTCTATACGTCACCATTAGGTGATATTGTCCGAAAATATGGTCTCAGCTTTCATTTGTATGCCGATGATACTCAATTATATATTTCATTTACACCTAATTGTCCATCTTCTTTCAATTTATCAAAATTGCAACTTGAGAACTGTATTAGTGAAATTAGAAAATGGATGTCAAAGAACTTTCTAAAATTGAATGATGATAAAACCGAATATTTGTTATAAGGCTCAAGGCATCAATTAAGTAAATTTGCACATGATAACCCCCTGTTGTAATTGGTAATTGTGATATATTTTCATCTTATTCTGCTCGTAATATTGGCGCAATCTTTGATAGTTTTATGCTGATGGGAGCTCAAGTAAATATTTGTAAATTGTGCTATTTTAATGTCAGAAATATAGGTAAAATACGTAAATGTGTAACTGTAGAGACCACTAAGTTATGGAAGACCAAATGGGACAATATTCATGATGATTCTTGTTTCTACATTCCAGTTTGAACATTTTAGACACGAACGCAACATTCTAAACTAATGATTCTTGTTTCTACATTCTTATGTCAACATTTCATGCACAAAATCAACATTTTAAACAAAAAATTGACTTTATGTTTCATTTTCGGCGTTTTATCGGTAACTTTTATATATCATTAAATATTAAAATTAAAAAATAATTTCTTAATTTTACACAACAAAGAAATCAATTCATTGGTTTCTGAAAGTATCTAAAAAAAAATCTGGAATTTGAACTCTTATGAAAATATTTTCTACGTTTCAAAAAGTCTTGAAGTTAAAATCTTGAAATGAAAATGTCCAGAAAAATATAATGAATTATCAACATTATTACACCAGAGGGCGTTAGCATATGTGTACAACTTTGATACAGACTATAGATTAGAAATCAAAAGAAGACTTTTCCACGAGTGGAAGTGGGCCCCTGTTGTGTTTACAGTATGCTGTTTATGTATGATTTACATTGTCACTTTGTAAAGTGCCCCTGAACATGTTATATGAAAGGGCACACTATAAATATGCTGTAATAATAATAATAATAATAATAATAATATTTAAGTTTTGTCAAAATCGAATAAAAATTGTGACCTGTAGATTGTCCACAAACAAAATGTGGACAAACGGAACCGCTATCTTTTGGAGATTAACCTATATTTCAAGTTTCGTCAAAATCGGATAAGAATTGTGATCTGTAGGGTGTCCACAAAGAAATTGTGGACGGAGAGACGTCCAGATGGACGGTGGCGAAGACAACATAAATCCACATGAAAATGTGGGCGTTTAAAAATCGTGACCTGTAGAGTGTCTGCAAACAAATTGTGGACAGACGTCCGTGTGGACAGGGGCAACGACAATATACATCCACATGAAAATGTGGGCATATAAAAACAACCAATTATGAACCCTATTGGAAATATACCTACCATGCCTCCCCAGAATGCAGCAAAGACAAGCAATGGAATGATATCTGTGCAACCACGGTTTTTAAGTGGATTACTAAGTAAGCCTTTTTCATCATTATTTCCCTGAAAACAGAAAAGATAAATTGCCAATACACATTAGGACAAGCAGTTTCCATGCAAGAGATGCTCACATTTTGCAATAGATTGACGGAGAACTGGGAAATATTGGTCATCCTCTCTTTGTTCAAATGCTTCAAAATAGAAATAGAAAATAGAAATAAATTTAACAAGCAGTTGCCATCCAAGATATGCCCACATTTGGCAAGAGATGGACAGAGAACTGGGAAAATCAATAAGGTTCATTTTCTGATTGTTTGAATGCGTCACATCGAATTTGAAAAAAAAACCCAAGCCAACAGTGAAGCTGATGTCCCTCGCCGTAATCCCAAAATAGATGACACATATTAATTAATCGCACATTTATTTTTTTTCAAAAGTATCGAGCAATCAAACTATACACTAAGTTTCATCACTCTCTATCAGATAGAATCAAAGTTATTTTGTCCCAAAGCATCGACCAATCAAATTGCTTAGGTCTGCTTAGCTTTAGTTCAAAATGTTAATTATTGAACTCAGTCAAGACATTCAAAAAACGAACATCTACATCAAGTTTAAACATTCTACCTCAATTAAAAGCAGAGTTGTTATGTTCCAAAGTCTTGACCAATCAAATTGCTTACCGCTCCATAGCCTAAGCAGAAAATTCTCACCATCAAACTTAGTCAAGGTAATGATATAATGAATCTATATTCGGAGTTATAACCAAAGTTATCGTGCCCCAAAGCATCAACCAATCAGTTTGTTTATCTCTGCTTACTCTAAGCAGAAAATGCTCATCTACGAACTCCATCAAGGTATTGACCTAATAAACACCTACACCAAGTTTGAACATTATAGCTCAATTATAAAGATAGTTATCGTGTCCCAAAAAGTGTGATTAACAGACAGACGGACGAATCCATTTTAATAGTCCCCTGCTTTCTTCGAAAGGCGGGGGACAAAAATCAGTTAAAAACTTACTTAAGATTTACACATGCTGACAGACTCAGTTTTAAAAATAGTGTCCTTTTCGGTCAAGGCTATTGCATAGCTTTAGGGAAATAGTCCAATTCTGGGACAACAAGCCAACAGTGAGGCTGGTGTACCCTGCCGAATTCACAAAATAAATAGATGACACATATTAATAAATTGTACATTTATATTTATTTTTTTCAAAAGTTAATCAACTGATTATCAACTATACACTAAGTTTCATCACTCTCTGTCAGATAGAATCAAAGTTATCTTGTCCAAAAGCACCAACCAATGAACTGTTAATCATTGAACCCAGCCATGACATTTACCTACTGAACATCTACATCAAGTTTAAACATTCTACCTCATTAAAGGCCCGGTCCCACTGCACTTACGGATGCAAAGAGGATGTAAAACGGGGAAAAAAATGTGCCCTCCGTTTGAAAACCCCATGCATCCTTTGTGTACTCATAGCATACATGTTTCATACGCTCTATCCATCGAGCATCCGTTCACTTTGATTTCATCCGCGCAAAATGTTTTGAGCTGCACAAAACTTTTATAACGGATGAACTTTCTGCCATGTACGATGTAAATGCGCGACATATACGAGCACCAAACGTTCCATGTCCGTTATCATCCGTTAAACGTCCACTGTATCCTCTCTGCATCTTCTGGCCATCCTCGTAACTCACATCCACTCCAGCTGAAAACGGAAAGAGGGAGGAAAGATAAGGTACATGGAACGTCTATACATCGTTAGTAGCACGGAAATAGAAAGGATGTAAGCGTATGCATCTCGTACATAAAGTTTTCAAAACAGACGTGTTTGTATCTGGGATGTATCTGGTATATTGAAGGATGTCTGGAGTTTGCCTAACCCCTTCGGAGCTGTCATCCACTTCCATCTGCTTTCATCTGCATCTTCTGGCCATCCTCGTAACTCACATCCACTCCAGCTGAAAACGGAAAGAGGGAGGAAAGATAAGGTACATGGAACGTCTATACATCGTTAGTAGCACGGAAATAGAAAGGATGTAAGCGTATGCATCTCGTACATAAAGTTTTCAAAACAGACGTGTTTGTATCTGGGATGTATCTGGTATATTGAAGGATGTCTGGAGTTTGCCTAACCCCTTCGGAGCTGTCATCCACTTCCATCTGCTTTCATCCGCTAGGCTTCCGATGAACATCCATTTAACATCCCCGCTACATACTTCCCACGTTCGTTCTTTTCCGTTCTGTTTTCGCCTTTAAAAGCAGAGTGGTTATGTTCCAAAGTCTTGACCAATCAAATTGCTTATCGCTCCTTAGCCTAAGCAGAAAATTAGCACCATCGAACTTAATTAAGGTAATGATATAATGAATCTACATGTACATGTATATTCAGAGTTTCATCGCTCTCACTTCATTAAAACCAAAGTTATCGTGCCCCAAAGCATCAACCTATTAAATTGCTTATCTCTGCTTACCCTAAGCAGAAAATTCTCATTCTTTACCAATCAAATTGCTTATCGCTCTGCTTACCCTGAGCAGAAAATGCTCCTTCTCTGTGGGCGTATAAAAACACACACTTCTTATCATCTAATTCAAGAGGTATATCATTGGATACCCTTGTTATAGTCAGGCCAATATATGGAAAATATCCCCTCAACCCCCCCAAAATTGCTACAAAAGGTTTCTCAACTGATTCTGGTAGGGTTTAGTGTACTTTATAACATACTAAAAGTTTACCAAAGTAGGACCCCCGGGAAAGTGTTTTGTCAAAAATGGCCACATAAACGTTTTAAAATGATCATAACTATGTAACTATCAACTCAAATTTGATGATCTTAGTGTCTTTCCCTAGGTTTTGGGGGCAAAGAACACATTAAGATCATTAAAATGATGTTGGCCTATTATGTCAAAATGGCCGCCAACACCGCCAAATGACCGCAAGTCCATAACTATTGACTCAAATTTGATGATCTTGATGTCTATCCCCAGGTTTTGGGGGACACGGAACACATTAAGAGAACTAAATGGATATCACTGAGCTGTTGAATCAGTATGAAATTGAATTCATGACCTTCAGCTGTCCACTATCATAGAATGAGTGTTCAGTTTGGAGTGTCATCCTCCTCCTTAGTATCGATCTCTTGAGTGTCGTTTGAATTGTCACAGATTTGCTGATCTTGCTCCTTCATTACTCCAGAACAGACAATGAGATCATCTACTTCCGTTCAAACAACCAGTTAAAAGAACACAAAGTGTATAACATTAACCTGTTGAAAGAAATTTAAGGAGACCATGTGTGCAACGAGTTGCTCTTTATACATGTTTATTCAGGCTGTGATTCAACTTCAAGAATTTTAGGCATCTTAAAAAAGTCCATCTACCGGAAATTAGTGAAATCTGATCCTGTCCTGAAGTCCTGTGCTAGTGCATTCACCCATCAAAACAAATCTCAAGAAGACATATCAGATCTTGGCAAAGACCTGATGGTTGATCTATTATGTGGCAAATTGAATGATACGCTATCATCACTGTGTCATATCATTTTCACCAAGAAAGTGGCAACTGCTGAAGCATCTGTCATTCCTTAACGGCTTCCCCAACAGCACCAGCAACAAGATTTCATAACCAACGTATGTATTTTCAAATTATGGTATGGACGGGGATGTCAAATGAAATAGACCCAACTGAATAGGGATGGAAGCAGGAAAATGATCAGTTAATTTCAATTATGCCCCAAAACAATGCTGCGCCTGGCAAACTCTTGAAAATTATCTATTGGAACTATTCGGGGGATGCAGCTGCAGACGCTATGGACTCCTCTACACTGCTGTATGTGACCCTTTTCAAACTGAAAACTGTGACAATTCAAACAACATTCAATAGGTCAATACTGAGGTGGAGGATGACACTCAAAACTAAACGCTTTGAAACTTATTCTATGGACAGGGGTGGTTGTGCATTAGGTGATAGTGGACAGCTGAAGGTCATGAATTCAATTTCGTAATGATTGAACAGCTCAGTGACATCCAAAGTTGTCTTAATGTGTTCTTTGTCCCCAAAAACCTGGGGATAGACATCAAGATCATCAAATTTGAGTCAATAGTTATGGACTTGCAGACATTTGGGGGTGTTGGCAGCCATTTTTGACATAATAGGCTCGAGAACAGCGGTTATGGACCCGTCCGTGGCAGCTTTGGGCAACCTGAGAGTTTACGGGTTCCGGGGATAGTATGGTCGCAAGGCTGAAACTTGAAGGAATTGACGGAATCGCACCACAAGGAGTGGAGCCTGTGGCTTAATTTGACTCAACACGGGGCAACTTACCCGGTCCGGATGTCGTCTGAATTGACAGACGCTCGTGTGGTGGTGCATGGCCGTTCGTGGCTGGTGAAGTGAAAAGTCTGTTTTATTCCGCTAACCTGCGAGGCCTCGC